CGGTCGAGAAAACCAAAAGGGTTTGTATAGTCAAGAGAAGTTAAACAAGTGGTACCAGCGCCATTGTCTAAGATGGAAGCGATAGAATGAACAATATGAGCAACGATATCAAGTGTGGATAAATGGGGTTTATAAGCAAATTGTAAAGGGTCATGGGAGTTACACTGGGGTATCATGCGGTGCAGCAAATCATTTTCAAAAGCCTCCAGCAACACAGATGTACAGGCAATAGGACAGTACTTTGACGATCCTTTCTTTGGGATTGGTCTTATCCTGGCTGACCTCCAACAATCGGGGATCGTTCCAGATGACAAACAAGTACTGAACAGTTCAGCAGTGGATGTCGCAAGCTGGTCGGCGCAGGCTTTCAACAAATGAGGTGCTAATCCATCGGGACTATGAGCGTTATTGGCCTTGAGTCTCCTCAAAACTTGGAGAACCTCGTCCGGAGAATCAGGGTTTATTGCATCATGGGTAGGAAAAGGAGGTGGCAGGGAGCTAAATGCAGGTTACAGAAGCAAATTGACGGTTAAGTACCTCAACGTTGTGACAAGAATTGATGCGTGAGCGACAGAGTTTCCGCAAGGAAGTCCACATCTCACGAAAGTTTTTGTTGCCCAAAACAGTCTCGACATACATCCCGTTCAGGCGTCTTACTTCTGCTCTAATCAGAACAGAGAAGAGCTCTTTGACACTGTTACGCCTGCCGGCCATATATGCCGTCTCTTTAGCATGACGAAGGCGCTTAAGAAGGGGAGATGAAAACCTATCGGTTCGAATATAAATAATTTCGACAGGACAGCATTGGTCATAACAGAAATTAAGATAATCAGTAAGGTGTTCACAAGAAGAAGATAGCTGGTTATGGAAGAACACAGAAAAGTCAGTAAAAGCAACTAAGTTTCGCAGTCGGGACAAGTTCTCAGGAGAACAATTTCTCTTCCGTAGCGTACGAGAAGTTGGTCGTGTATGAAGGCAGTGGTTAGTTTTACAATATATCTTGGGGTAAAGAAGAATGGTAGAGTGGTCAGAAGTGCTAATTGGGGCTCGTTTAAAAACGTCAAACATATTGGGACTATTTACATAAATGCCATCAAGAAAGGCATTGGTACGGGTTGGAGACTTGACAAGGTTCTCTAAGCCTAGAGTGATTAAAAGGGAGATATCAAAGCGATTGAAGTCACCAGCGGTTATACATAAGGACTGGTCAATACAAGTGGCGAATTGTGTTACTACAGTATCAGAAAATCGTCTTAAGTCGGGGCGAGTGTATCAGGGGCAATATAAATATTCACAATGTAAATGAAGCGAAATATGCTGAGAAAGCGGGGCTTGCAGCAAACAAAAGTACAGTTAATTTTACTTATTGAGTAAGAAAAAGTCACACGAGTGTTCTTGAACCAACTTCGATTTGCGAAAGTGACCACTCCGCCACCTCTGTTGCGAAATTTCACAAAACAATCACTCCTGACAATATCAAAGCCGTCTAGTCCGACCACATCATCCTCAAAATCTGGGTGTCACCAGCTTTCCTGAAGTAAAATGACTCCCACACTTTTGCATTGTTTCTGTTGCACCAGATTCTGGACGTCATCGATTTTTCCCATAAGTGAGTGAATGTTATTCCTGTTGATAGAACTTCGCTAAGAGCGCAACCTGACAGCCAGCGCGATGCTTTTTATGGTGACCTTGACGTTTATTTCTCAACCGTTTGTAACGATTCCTCATGGAATGAGCAAACGGTGAAATTCCAACGTCATTCGCGAAAACACAGAAAGATTTCATAAATTAGAAGTTGTAGGTCAGCATTTGATCTTGGGAAATTGGTGAATTGATGTCAACGTGTACGGTCAATAGTATCCACTGCGAAAAAGGAAATAGTTGTCCAATTTCAAAAAGCATGGTCGAACTTTAAAGTCCCCGCCAGTGCGACAGCTTGAAGTGATCAGAAGACATCTTGATATGACACCGGGACAACTTGATTTGCAAAAGGTATAGAAACGATTTCAAAGAGACCGGAAACCGAAATCACCATGGTCACACATTTGTTTAATTGGCATTGGCCATCAATCTGGCGTGCTCTTATGCAGCTGGCCCATATCAATTCCGCCCACATATGTCTTCTTGTGTTGATGAAATGGATGACGGGAAAAGGATGTTTTACACATTCGATTGTCCACTCATCCGATCATCGAGATCATTTGTGATGCGGTGTGTGTGTGTGTGTGTGCGGTCGAATGCCCACCGCTTCTGCTGTAGAGAGCATCCGACAACAAACCTGCCTCGATGATCGCCCACGAACTTTATACGGGTTGAAAAGCCTCGCCCACGTCCAAAGTGTGATTTGTTTCAGCTAGGTGTGAAACCACTGAACTGGTGAGTGACTTAATAGTTCCGGTGTTCAGCCACACAGGGAGGTGTTCAAGAATCCATTCGGACAATCGCCTGACCCCGTGGATTATGTATGTTATCCCACAGGAACAAGTAAATAAACAGAATGAGACCGCAGACAGTTTGAGCAACCGCTAAAGCTCTCCTGACCAACCTCACACAAACCCTTTCACGAGTAATCTCGATGATCGGATAAGTGGACAAACAAATGTGTGATCATCGTGAACCCGGTTTTCGGTCTCACAATAAAATAGTTTCTAGTAATTTGTGATTTTATTGTATTTTCTCAAGACAATTTTATTCCCAATTAGTGATATGTAGTGAGATGTATTGGTATGAATACGAATCTCTGAAAACGAGCTTGTTCGCCACTCTGTTGTTCTGCTTGAAATAAAATTCCCTCTGACCCTCTCTGCGATCCGACTGGATCATTTCCCGCTATGTGTGGCACTTGGAATCCCTCACCTCAACACGAAACTGTCTGATTACCGACTTGTACTTTTTGTAATGCTCCTGTTCTCACGTTCAGTCCATCCGTGTAGTGATGACACGCCTGCTCTACGGTCGAAGTCCACTGGGTCAAACTAAGACTCACGGTTGTAGACAAGGTGTGTTTTCCTGTTCGGGTTAGCTGAGCAAGCACCAGGTCCCTTGTTGCGGCTAAACTATCCTACCGATCGTGCGATTTTCCGGCCGACACAGGAGGATACGTTCTGACTGCGATAGTGGTTAAGTGTTGGTAGAGAATCACCACAGGAGAATCAGTGGTGGAGCGATGCGCTATGTGGGAAATTTGTAATAGAAAATGCACAAGCGATGATGACCCTGGACCAACGCTTGATTCGTATAAGATACATACACTATTTTACGAAGCGGGTTCGGTAAACAGATAATGATAATAAAACTTCGAACTTGTTTTAATAACGGACAGCAATATCCCCTAATTTATGCCCACTCAAAACCCTTCTGGTTTTTTCCTCAACTGGCTGTTTTCGCGTTGAACGATCTGGCTAACTACGTCGGAGACAGGATTCCGAAAGAAAGAAAAAAACATTTTGGAAAAATGCATATTTATTTTATAAAAGTTGTTCAGTATGTTTTCCAGTCTGCTGCTTGCATAGCAAAATCCGGTGCAGATAGTTTTCTTCCATCTTCAGAATGGAAGTAGTTGGAATACTTTCGCACTGCTCCATAATATTCTGCTTAAGCTCCTCGGTCGTTCTCGGTTCTCGTGAATAAATTGTTCGCTTTAGAATCCCCACAGAAAGAAACCCAAGGGGTACAGATCAGGTGATATTAAAGGCCAGTCCTTTCGTCCTCCTCGGGCAACCCATCTGCAGTTAAACTCCGATTCGAGGAAACTTCTCACCACCTGAGTATTGTGTGGCGATGCGAGGTCATGCTGGAACCAAACAGTAGTACGAACTGCAGTTTCTATACGCCGGATGGCAGATGCCACATTATCCTGTAAGTTATACTTTGTAAATGTGAAACAACCCGTATAACCGTGAAATATTGGTTTCACATTATCTGCTTGTTTAAACACTAATAACCCAACCCGATTTCATCCTTTCATCATTCGCATGAGTTCTATCATTGGTAGAGATCAATTTCCGCAAACAGTCTTAATGAAACGTAATCCAATTCAATAACTCAGTGTTTTCATTATATAACCTTTCTGTTTCAAGCCAATCGGTATAAAAACCGGTTGGTTGGATCACTGGTCACCGTATAACTTCAGAAAACCTCTTTCGTGGATGGCCTGCAATTGTAAACGGAAACCGACCTGTACTTATTTTGGCACATTCTGTGTTCTTCCTATCAATTTTGCTATTTTAGTTGACTTTTGTCGCACCTCTCTTTCAGTGATGAGATGGTAGTTCGGTAAATGAATTGATCTGTGTCGATGGGCTACCTGATTACTTCGATTCCACTTAGTGTCCTCGACCGGTAACTGGAGTTCTGAACACCCAGCATACTGGACGGACCATTGGTAAAATTATGTGACAACTAATTAGAGTTCGAAGCTTGGAAATACATCGCCCGTGATTTTGGAACAACAATTACAGTACATCATTCAAAAGGGCACGAGAGAGTGGACCTCGCGAAAGACTTCTCAGCACACATTGATCCGTGCGCAGAAAGTCAGGCACAGAAAAAGTTCAGGTAATCAGTTCAGCTCAAGTGATGAGTGAGGATCACTCAAGCGAAGCAAATAAACAAGCACAGATATTCTTCTTGCAAAAAATACATAACCCATTAGGAGGTATATTGCTCTACGAGGACAGATTTCAGCTGAGCAAGCTGTGCAAAATGGGGTTTAAGAATTGCTCTTGTTTAAAATTAAAAAAGGAATCAGTACCTTCTCTTGCTCTTGAATGATAAACTCTATGAAGCATGCCCGTAAAGAATGGTAGGCAGGGTGCAGGGTAGCATCGGGAAGAACCGGAACATATACTGAAGACAAGCGGTTATCACAATCAGCTTGTGTGTAGGAGTGTGGTACATTCCTGTCGTGTCAGAATACTTTATACATGTTGGAAGCACATCATTTGGCTATCAGTTCGTTGGTGGCTTGTTTAATACGTTGCAGATAGCGCTTTTCGGCGGCCAGAAAATTGGCATCCTGGATTTCAAAAATAAACGTTGGGAAAAAGAAAACAACTCACATTACTAGCAGATAGCCAGATGAACAATTAAACGAATACAATAAACAAAAAAATGCACACAAGAGTCTCCAAATTCTCTCGATTTCTGGCACTACAAACAACCGTGAAGTTTCCATTGCGAATCCAAAAGCGCTCAGCGCACATTAAAATGATGTTTTATGGTGTTATCACTACTTGGAAACCCCTTCGAAAACCAGAAAAAGAGAATAGGTGAATGTAAAACCTGTAATGAAACGGTGCTATTCAGAAATATCCAATTGACCACCTAACTTTGGCCTAACTCGTCAATGAGAAAGAAGTCGTGTGTTCAAATCTGCGCTTTTTCAAACCGGTGTTTTGCTTTAACACGTAGTGACCAAATGATGTTAGGAGTATATCGAAATATTGATGCGCCATGTGTTGTTTTATTGTGAATGTTAGTGTTTTGCTTATCTAACATTTTTACTCTCGTGTTATTCTCCACGACTTACTAAACAAGATTTCACAGTCTTAATCTGACGCTGAGCTACGCTGCGTTAAACGTCTTACTGACTGTGTTTGAAAGATTCCCGTGGGTCACATTTAAAGCTGTCTCTATTGGTAAAAAAGACGTGCACTGTTTGTTTCATCTTTATTCAGGTTTTTTCTTATCTCCAGGAGAGCACAATCAGCAACAATCAGTGATGCAATGCGTTGCTACTTCAACCTGATTCATCACTTATATCTGTTCCAGCCATTCAGAAAGAGCGAAAAATTGGCACCGCGCCCATCACTATGGTCTTCGATAACAGTATTTTTTCATGTACCGTCTTATTTTGGTGCGGAATGAATGAAGGCAATTTGCATTAGCTGCAAGATAGAAAATTACAATCAGAAACCCACATTTCGATTTCTACTTCTGTTTTTCGAAGACCACTGGACATGATACATTGTCTGGCTATTTTTTCTTCAAATAAATTTAACGATTGATAAATGCAAAGCTAAAACAGGTAGTTAACCCCCAACGCCCAGTGCGCCTGCGTGCATTGTGATAGAACAAAACAACACTGTTATTGTATCTGTAAACACAATTAAACAGTCACTATTGATAGTGGGTTAGAATGAACCGGAAAGCGTTCTCGGTTTGGTTACTCTTTAATAATCAATTATTGCAGTTCGAAGAACCGTTTCCATAGATAGTTGTGAGAGCTAATTTTTGCAAGGTACGAATAATGTTTTATTTTGTGCTGTCGGGAAAGAAAATGACCACGAATGAGGTACATATACTCCGATCGATCAAGCAACTAAATGCACTTAGTTGACAAGAGAGAGAAACTTTAGTCAAAAATTCGACCAAGAGATAAATTGAAAAAAACGGAAAGTATATGGAACGAAGAAGTATACATACCTCATCCTGCGAAGCTCTCAACTTTCTCAATGTTTCATCATCCATCATGGAAGCTGATAAATAAGCGGTCGGGGAAGAACAATTAAAATTAAATATCCTTGACGATGCATTTGAACGAACACGAATTCAGGTGAATAGTGTGTGTGTGTGTGTGTGTGTAAACGTCACTCTAAATATTTGTAACCCAAATCGCTCGGCCATCACTTGGTGCAAAACTCATTAAATCATGTTCAATGTGCATGTGGCTTGCTATTCCAGTATTTGCAGATTAGACCGTTACCCACTTGATCATGAAGTCCACTGATTGTGGTAGTAAGCTTAAGTGTCTTATCAGTATCATTAAGTGAACTCGATAAGTGCCTGGTTCTGAGCCACATCATGTTATCAGTTGCTTTCTAAATAAGAAAAAAACAACATTTTAAGCACTGCAACGCTTTGCGCAAACATCATCTCAGTTTTGAGGTAAACATATGACCGCTTTTTGAAAGGTTAGTATTCTACCGTTTCACTCGATCGGATTCGCTCATTTGAGCACCATACTCTAGGAGTCATGAATCAGTGGTGAAACTTCCGAACCTGACTTCCGGATACAACGGAATAATGAAAGACTTTATGCGATAGTAGAACGAATTGACGTATATCCAATGTTTTCCTTAGTAAAATGGGACGGAACACTCGATTAACTGATTATGGCCGTTAATGACCAATTACTACACATGTTACATACCACGTAAATCCACTTCAGACATTCGACTTTTGCGTGTTTTGCCTCTCATAGCCGATTCAGCACGGGAACGCGATTTGTTCATCCCAGATAGGTCATGTTCGCGAACAGGGACCTGGCAATTGGCACAAAGTACTCTGACCTGGTCATTACTGATTTCATGACGTAACCGAGTCAGTTCGGCATGTTCCCGTGCTAATTCTTTTCGTTCCTGAAAATAACAACCAAAGAGGCACGATGAGAAAGAAAATGGACTATCGGAATTCTTACAGGCGAGGCGGAATTCAACTTTTGGTGCTTGTGATGTGATACAAACATGCAGATGTTGATAACCGACGCAAAGAACGCGATCCCATATGATTTCGAAGAATCGCTTATTATACCAATAAAACTAAGCCCAAGGCATTTCTGTACTTGATATTTACTCTCTCGCTCACATACACTCGGCCTATTTCTGTTTCGTTGACTTTTGTTCGAATGTCCTGTGCTCTTTTATCCTACGAGTGACTTTGTTTAATTCCTTACCAGATTACAGTTATTTCCACGTGACCGAATATAGAGTAGTATTTGAAGACTACTCAAACGATCATTCGGTATGTGTCGGTCGCCGGCATACAGATCAGTTTGGCATACATACATCCCTCAACAATCGAAACAACGATAGAGAAATATCAAAATAACACGTGGCCTCGTAGCACACACACGCACACACACCAAGCAACTACAATATGCAGTGGCTGATAATCTGGCTCTCTATCACGCTTTCCTAATAGTATCAGAAATATCTACACGTCTTCCATTTAATTTCAGAGTGAGTCCTACCATGGAGCAGCAACTAAACCGCAGCACGTAATTGGTAGACCATAAAATGCTAAAGTCGTTCACCGTTCTACTACGGTCCTTGAAGATTTTAATCGAAAGGTTTCCCAGAGTGACATATTCACTATTCACTACGCCGCATTCGCCTCATAATGAATGGGCTCTCTTTTTTGCAAAGAACCACCGCATGTGTGTATAGACTGAGGGAGCGACTTTCTCCAATGGGTTGTACCAATGGAGTTCATTGCTCGTTAACCAGGCTGGTATGTGCCGGTGTCAGAGAATGGTGTACAACTCAAATGAAGCGTGGTCACGTAATATGGGGACAGGAAAATAGGTAACCATGACCGAGACCATAAATACACAATAAACTGTGAACCACAACCAACACCAACACCACCCACCCCCTCCCCTTTACTCCCTGCTCTGCCCATGGGTTTGTGTGCAATCAACCACCGTGTATGACACATGATCGATCAGCAGGCGATTGGCAGAAACAGAAAACAGTAAAGGGTAGAGGTTCATCTACTTGTGGATAGAGGAACGGAAACGATTCGCTCCGGCTGATGAATATGCATACATCTAACCACAGGGTACACAGCGCCATGAACAATGGCTCAGTGCAGCAGTCGGATGATTTGCATGGAATCCAATCCTGGTGCGCAACAAATTGCTTCCGTTCTATTATCAATCTCCTTCGGGAAACGAATGTTACCTTGACGACCGCGGTGCAAAGTATACTCTCAGCCGTAAATATTGATGCATTCATGAGTGTGGCATACTTGGTTGTAAATTTTGTTAAACAGCGATAGGATTATTGAATAAACTGCTAGGTTTGAAATGAACGCATACAGCAGTATCAGAACTTAGCTGTTGTCACGCGGTTTGGATGTTGTTAGGACCGCAGAAATACAATTGATGTGTGCATAATGACAACCTGAATTAGTGCAGCGGATTTGTATATCGGTCTCAGACACCGTCTTTCCTGTGATCAGTTAGTTTTCACACACACACACACACACACACACACACACGTTGTCCTGGCTTACGGGTATATTATTAGTCAAGGCATTTACAGAAAGGCACGACAAATCACGCCAACAACCAGTCCGTGCTTTCACCGGATCAGAGGCTTGTATACGGATATTTAAAACAAAGGGTCGTGTTGTGATCCAGACATACGTGACCGCATTCTAAGTACGACCAAGTACAGCTTCTTGTCATTCAATCAAAGTTCAGGAAGCTGGACCAATGGTATACCGGGTGAACATTACATCCGAGTTGGTACATGTGTTCCGTCTTCGCAGACGATTACGTGATGGGACGCCGGTCCTTCAATCAATGATATGGCCTATTACTTTATATAAAACATGCTCTATTTCTATTAATAAATATAAGTATTTGCCGCTACCAATTCTCCTTGTCCGTGGTTCGGGTTGGAACCAATCCAATTCTGAGTATTACAGTACGGGTTCTCCTATTACGATATTCAATACTATTCCGATTACCACAGGTGGATGCATAGTTTCTCTGTGTAACGTATCGGCTTTTTGATGTCCCACAGTCCAACAATGATATGGTCGTTCCGGGGGAAAAGATACGTCCAGCTAGGGGTCAGTCTGTGGCCTTCACTCAGCTGTACCACGTGCCTGACTAACGCTTATGTTCAATGCTGTTTTGCGATCTCCATTAGATACGAAGTAGTGATGAATTGTCTGGTTTCCTCCAAAGATCTAAAAAAAAGAGTATCTCCATGTACGAATATCACCTCTTACGACATCATATGTTCGCTTCGACACACACAGAGCAGTAAACACACTAGTATAACAATGATCTTTGCGAGTTATTTAAACTGAGCTAGGTTTGTACCAAGGAGTCTGTTACAGTCTAAACCTGATCATCCATATTATATTGCCATTCGATCGGTACAAATTTGTAGTACAGCGTTTAGTTTTGTAAAATTATGGTTTTATGGTATTTTAATTCCTTTGAAAGTAATTATAAAAACGAATACTACTTAGAGTGCGTTTTCACCAGATTGGTTTCATGGACCCTAGACAATAAAAAGCATACGAAGCACAATCAGATGTGTAAATGTCTTGAACCGCTCGCTGGTAAAGATGCTTCAGCAGTTCAAATCTATACTATTCTATTAGTATTCTCTCTAGTGCTTTCAATGTAATCGCACGACTTACCGCTGGATGGTTACTGATTATCAACTGAAATAGTTTTGAAAGCTCCGTCTGTCAAACTAGTAGAACCGTTGTATTTATTATTATGACGTTTCATTTTGAGATGAAAAATGAAAGGTGTGGGCTCTACGGTGGCGAGAATCCATTTTTCATTCACGTTATGGTAGCCTGTATTCTAAATCATGGGATTCGGAGTGCTGAGCCATGCAATGTCCCACTAGGATGGATGTTGTAGGCTGACAGGTACCACAGCGAATGTTCAGGCCTTGGGCACCTTGAGTTTACTCTGGATGGGTGTATTGTCGCAAATGAAATGGCTTGAGCAACGATATGCTCGAAGCCCATGAACTTTCGCTCACCGGTCAGTTGGATCATACAACAAAGTCAATCAAACTCCTTCAACCTGGACTTGACTTTTGGCTAAAACGTCAAGTCGTTAGGAGACGATATTGCACAATGGTTACCTGTGCACTCCCCTGTCTCTTTTCAAAATCGCGAGAGACAGGAAAATTTTGTCGTGAAACGTAATTCGGTGAAAGGTACAAAACACCATGGTTGAAGGTTAGATAACCACAAAAACAATAGAGTTTGATCATCATACATCGGAGTTAAACGGCTCAGTGTTGTCACATTCACGAATCCATTTTCATCCACTCACCCATCCACTCTTCCCGCTGTCCAGGCGTAGACCCCCCCCCACACACACACACATCACCTATCCACTCAATTACAGGTCGCGTACTTACCATCATGAGTTTCGTTTCAGCCTCATGCATTTTTTCCATACGCATTTGTAGCTCGGCAAATTGTTTACTTTGTTCCGCTTGTAATTTTCGTTGTCTCGATTCGGCTTCATCCAACGCGCGTTCCGCCTGTGCTACAGTTTCTGCCTTCTGCGCTACTTCACTCATCTGTTGAGACAAATACTCGTTGCGATGATTCAATGCATCCTGTTCTCGAGCCAAATCACATCTGAAAGGGATGTGTTGAGATTGGTTATTGCATAATGACAAAACTTGCCTGTGTCCTGCTTGATGCGACACACGACAAACAGAATCGACTTGCCAGAAGTGCATTGCCACTAACTACAGACACCCGGAAAATGGCATGAGGGAGAATCGGGGTGGTTGTGGTAGTGTGATACGGTGCGATGCGGAACTGGAAGCATGCACAATAGACTGATAAAATATACCGACAGAAAACTGTCGCTCCCGGATGTACCATAAATACTCCCGTTTTGTATTGGAAAAGATATGGAGTTATTGTTGAAGAAGCAATGAACTGAAAGAACTTTCAATACATATATCATTTCATACAAAATGGTTAATATGGTTAAAATGGTTAATATCAAAAAGTGTACAGTGAAAACCAAATGTTTATACTAATACACTAATACCAAACTGCCATGAGACCGTTTTGGTTATTGAATTCCCGTTACCCATTGAGCAGACCATTAGGGAAGAAAGTTGGACTGATCGCAAATGAAGATAAGGAATGTTGGTGGGCTCTGATGTGCGTAGAAATTCACTCTATAAACAATCTCCAGTATGTACACACACCACAGCCAATCTCTCTAGTCCTGGACTAGGTTGGTCATGAGATCAAGATTCTCAAAGCCTAACATGATCTACATTATCAGGTCCAATAGTCATGGTTGTTATACACTGATTACAGATCATAGCAGGACCACTTCTGATCTTCGAAGCACACCAATGAAACATATCATGACAACTGCACACATCGTTGATCCACATTTGTAGTTCGAGCCGTGATTACATAACATGAATCCCAGGCTCTTGGCGTTTAGCGAGGTGATGCTAATTAAGTTGCGCAATCCAATCTCGTGTGTACAAAAGTTTCTGAAGTAATCAGTTAAACTGTTGTGGAACTCATTCCCCACCCTCCCCCCGTCCCAGCCCCCAGCTACCCTGGCTACTGTCCGTTGAACCACTGTCCTTATGATAACTTTCTTGTCTACATACCAGATTGTTTTACGTTACAAAGACTGAGGAGACTAAAAGCAATATTAACATCTCGTAGTATTTGTCTTTTCTGTTCTAACGAATGTTTTAGATTTTATTTCCATTTACTGAATATACAACAATTCGAATTTCAGGAAGGTGGAAGTGGTCAATCAAAGGGATGTCGTACAACGTACATTAAATGGTGACTAGCATTATTTTTTACTTAAATTTGATTGCAAACTGTGATATAGCGATTCGCTAAAACTGATGGAACTAAAAAAAACAATTACGGAAACAAACAGGGAGCATGTAATTTTGGGAACGCATAGTGCATTAACAGTAACAATGCGAAAATGGCGTGCGACCAGAAAACTATTGTCTGAATAGTTTCATAGAACACATTACAAACAAAACAGAAAGTGACGAAGAAGCTCGATGAGGAAGGGATTCATAATGATTTCAACACAGAATATTTTCGTCACAAATCAATAATCAACGATATGGAGTGCACTTTTTTGTGAACATTTTGTTCAAAATAGTGATGGCTGTGTGCCATTTATGAAATATGCTTGAACAAGTAGCATCCGAATGACTGGATAAAATTTCCCTAAAATCACACGACCGGTTTACCGGTGATTGCCACTCATCAGGTCTGGGTATCCGGTACTCTCTCATCTCGTCATTCACTAATTGACTGCTTTGAACAGCATGTTCGCAAAAAGTAAGACCCATGTGTGTATTGGAGATTTGTAACGAAGATAGACATCCTCGGTTTATGTATTTGAATACGTAGATGAGGATACGCATATCTGACAAGCGGCAATCACCGTTAAACAGGTCGTGTGCTCCCAGGGAAATTTTATTCAGTCGTTCTTTGACTTATTGTCTGACTTGTTCTCATACTACTTATCACATCACAATATACATATACAGTCAATCTCCTGCTATGTCGCACCCTTGAGAAGTCTTTTCAATATCTTCCCACTTTTTCGAAAACCCAAACCAACCGTATGCTTAATAACGTAGTTTCTAATTATGCGATATCGCACCCGTCAGTATGCCTCAGTTCCTGACACGTACTCACTTGGTCATTGACCGATGGTCGGGACGACCATTGACCATCCACTTTAAAATGTCTCACTCAACCAGTGGCGTTGCACCTAATTTGACGCGTTCATGGCGCTGTTCAATGATTGGATAATCCTTGTGAGGGGTGTCACACAGATGTAAGGGATCGGAGACAGTGTCATTCAAAGTCCAAATGTGCAAGCGCAAATCGATCGGAGAGAAGCAGAATGTGTTGGAAATGCTGAATCAGCCAGGTGCAACTTAGAGCTCCACAGCCAAATCACTTGGAATTTCAAGAACAACTGTCTACATTGTTATATCCCATCGAACGACTATCGGAGAATTTTTGAACGCTGGAGCGTCTGAGGGAAGATGCCACCTGAAAGCCAACGATTTGATCGAGGACTTTACTCATGTGTCTATTGATGACCGTCTTTTTGGAGAATAAATCGCCTGTTTGGAATTTGATGACGAAGAAGTGGGTTATTTAAAACTTTTGCATCAAGTCTATTTTTTAGTCATTAGATGAATCGAATCAAGTTAAGCATCGCAAAGAAAAAGATGAATGCGAGGCAGTAAATGCGCCGGAAGGTATCTCAGTCAGAGGAGCGCAGAAGTTATTGGATCAATTGAAGCTGTTTGCCTTGGCTAATGCTCGGAGTTCGGGTCGATTATTAGAGTGTACCATTGATTTAAACAGCGTGTTTGTTGATTTCCAAAAGGAGAGTAAGGCTGAAACAAAAGAAGATTCATGATTTTGCTAAATATACATCTTTGTAATCTTCAAAGGTTTTTCTGTGGGTCACTAAACTGAACTTTAGGGGCACTCAAATGTGGTCGTTTCTGCTACAGTGTCCACCAAAGGCACCGCCAATCGGTCTGTCGATGGGCTCTATACCATTTCAAGATAGCTTTGAGAAACTATAATTATGATTTGCGAAACTTACGCGCAAAAGCGTGAACGATAATCGCGA